CAACAACAACAACAACAACCAGCAGCAACAGCAGCAACAACAACAACAACAACAACAATGTCCCGATGATTGCGTTTAAACGTGCAATGGCGCTAGCGTCATGATGTCAATAGCAGTGATGAAATGAATGTCCACGACGATGGTGACAATGATCGCAAATAGTCGTCTCGCGATACTTGGCCTCGTGAATGCAGATTTGTCTCTAAAGCCTTAGCATTGCGAGAGGTGCCGAAGCCCGTAGTGCAGTATGTGGACAAGGAGGCTGGTATCTCCATGCGAGCATGGGCCATTCAAAGGTCAGTGTCGAGGTTTGGTAATGGGAGTGCGGGCATGGGAAACAAATTGTGCCTACGATTACCCGGAGAGATAGGTAGGAAACCTACAAGTTGGTTCTAGACCCTAAGCCCTAAACCAGAAACCCCAACTGCTGATGGCTAGAGGTGGAGGCAAGATCTCATAGGCTTGGCTCTTAAAGCGGCAATAATCTTCATAAAGATCGTTCCTGTGTAAGTACTGCATCTAACATTTATCCTTCAGCTCTAAGCCCTAAACCCTTTAAGACCAGGGATGATAGGAGTAAGGTTGCAGTTTTGGGTATAGGGTGTTGGGTTGTAGTGTTTAGAGTGTAGGGTTTAGGCAAACTAGAAATTCTGGATCCAGTTGTTTCTTGACCCTTGGCCCGAACACTAAGCCCACAAGACAACACACCGCATGCTACAGCCCAGAACCCTAAACCCTAAACCCTAAAACCCAGAACCAAGACCCGAGTTGAAGCAACCAGCTGAACCCCCTAACCCCTTAAGCCTCAACCCCTACGCTGAACCCCAAACAAAGAGTCGCAGCCCAACTGAGCAACGTAACGTAGGGGTCTGAAGAATGGGCCTTTCTGGTAGCGTTTTATGTTGCGGATTAGTGGTGAGTGTATGTACGGCGCCTTAAGGTATAGTGGTGAGTATATACATGGGGGTGTGTTTGGGATAGTGGCAATAAAAACCGTACTCCATGTACAGTGTAGTACTAGTAGCTGAGAAGGTGACATTGAACCGCTCTGGTGTTGGATCTCCATAGCCAGCGACATTTGGCCGTCGTTCTGAGGGAGTGTTTTGCAAAGTAGCATCTGCTTTCTAAGCTCGTGCTTCGTCCGATGTCTGATTCTATTGAATTTGTTTGCTTCACCTTCGAAGCGTGTCCCAGGACAAGACATCAGTCGACGAGCGGCTGCGTGCATGGCACGGGTCGTGCGGGAGGTGACTCCAAAACGGAAGGTGTCCACTGAGAGAGGCGACTGCAGTCACCCTGATGTTCGATGAGAAATCACCCAACTTGGTGCGGAGATACAGCTGCAACCAAGCTGGGACTGACATCATTTTTTAAACATCGGCTTAAATCATTGGAGAAATGTGTCGGTATAGTCTTTTATCATGTACCCCAGAGCCCCAAAGCCTAATTGTTGAAACCCCTATGTTACCAGAAATGACAACTTCACAGACCCTGCACCCAAAACCCTGAACCCCAATCCCTAAACCCTAAACCCCCAAAGGCTAAACCCCCAAAGCCTAAACCCTAACCCGTATCTCGGAAAGTCATCGCCGAGCTAGCCACAAACCCCAGCCCCTAATCACCAGAGCTGCCTTCGACGACACCTTAAATCCCAGGTAGCAGTAGGGAGACCCCTTAACGGGAACCCTTCTGAACCCTACTCATGGCTCTCTTCAAAGGGACCTTATTGAGAGGGTCTATCTCCCCCAAGGGTCCCCCTACTCCTAACTTCCATGCTATACCCCGAAACCTGTTCTAAGTATTGATGCCCCGATAGCATGGTTCTGGGTTGGTTTGTTTAAGGCCAAAACACCTTCTAGCTCCTATTAAAGCCAGGGTTTGGCCCGCTTTTGTTTGGCCAGCATCGTCGGAGGAAGGGTTAGGAGCGGCTAGGGTTTAGGGTTTAGTAAGGATTCTGTAGGAGATTTGGGGTTCAGGGATGTTATGGCCTTAAAGCTTTTGGGTTTAGGGTTTAGTAACGGTTACGTAAGCCTGTAAGTTTCTGAGGTCACGGGCAAGGCCATATGTGAAGCAGAGCCTGCTCCTTCTGTGCAGCAGAGGATGCTCTCTTTCTGTCTTCCGTATTTTATCAAGCCGCTTCGGGTTCTAAGGGATCTGCATAGGTAACTTCGAACGAACCTTCCTGACCACGCAAAATCAAACCCTGAAGCCCCAAACCTTAAACCTCAAACCCCTTCAACCCAAAAACCTAAACCCTAAACCCTAAACTATAAACCTCTAAAACCTAAGCCCTAAATCCTAAAACCTAAACCCTAAAACGTAAAACCTAAACCCTAAACCTTAAACCCCTAAAACCTAAACCCTAAACCTTAAACCCCTACATCCTAAAGCCTAAACCCTAGACATTAGACCCCTACACCCTGAAGCCTTGGAGCCCTAAATGCTGAAGCACAAACCGCGCTAACTCATGTCGTAGTTCCCCATAGGCCCTCAAGTCGTTCCTTTTTGGTGGCTTTAGATTTAGGATCCGTTTAGGGTTTAGGGTTTAGGGTTGAGGGTTTATCAAACTAGGTTTAGGGTTTAGGGTTTGGGGTTTAGTAAGTTAGGTAATCCCAAAAGGAACTACTATGGGGCCTATGGGTCTTGAGTCTCGGGCATTTTCAGGTGGGTAGAAAAAGTTATAGGAGCCGCATAGAAGGTATTATAGACCTTATAGAAGCCCTATATACCCTAAACTCCCCACCTGTAGTTTCCTTCAACTAAACCCTAAACCCTAAACCCTATAGATCCTTTCAAGAGGCCCTTTTAAAGGGACTCTTTAACGAGCCTTATATAGCCTAAACTCCCCACCTGTAGTTTCCTTGAATTAAACCCTAAACCCTAAACCCTACAGATCCTTTTAAGAGGCCCTTTTTAAGGGACTCTTTAACGAGTCTTATATACCCTAAACTCCCCACCTGTAGGTTTCCTTTAGTTTGAGGTGCCGAAGCACACGATGCAGTACTTCGAGAAGGCCTTCGGGACAGACCTTGTGAGATTCATTATGTTAGGTTTTAGGGTTTAGCGGTTTAGGG